TTGCATAAAACACTCATGACTCTTATTTATGTCATTGAATAATATAATATTGCTGAAAATACTCTGACAGTCACCTTCAAATACATTTTTAAAGAGGAAAAAACCTAATATCAGATAAAAATGATAATTTTGATTTAATTATTAGCTCTAATTTAATTATTAACCATTTTCACAAAGATAATGGTTGCTACCATGCTATTATGATAATTAATAAAATATAAAAAAAAAGTTATTTTCAATCATCACTCACATTTCCCAGATATTGCATCTGCAATTTTATATCCATTTCTTGAAATTCTTGTATATTTCAAATATCAAGGAAGTTGAAAATTATGGTGGAGAGTTGGTTAAATTAAATGAAAAAGTTTTTCAATACATGATGGATCTGTCTAATAGCTAGAAAAATGTTATAAATGACAATCAAAAGAGCTTTTTTTGAAATGTGAAAGTTTGTATTCTATATTATTTTTTAAAGTTCTATTTCCAGAAAATCCAACATACAAAAGAATGAATTATTAAAATATATATTATATCATAATCATATAATATATATATATCAAGCTTTTAAGTTTTCTGGATCAAAAATCTGGATCTTGCTGTTACATATTACACGATGATGATATAATAATGATTAAATAAATGAGCAATTATTTATTATGACATCATCACAATACTAGGCTGCAATTTTTAATCATATTTTTAAATTATTTCATTTAAAATATATTGCTCTGCACCTGAAATTAGTGCTTTAGTGTCTTGCCTCTGTACATCATACTTTTCCATCAGCAATGAAATCATGCCAATCACCTATTAACTGCTTTCATGGGGAAATTTTTGAACTGAAATAATGTGACTTCCAGTTTAAAACAAAAGTTTGTATACAGTTAATTGGGACCTCCTGCCCCTAATATTTCTATATCTAGTCTTGAATTTCATCTATCTAACTCCATTCTCAAGATTAAGGAAAGACAGATGTCAACAGTGGGAATTTATAGATCTACAATTTTTTCAACTTGTAGCCCAATAAAATAACAGATAATTAAAATTTTATTTTATTTCAATGTGTATTATCTGAGGATGGTTCAGTTACTATTATAATTTTCTGATATAATCAATAAATTTTTAATAATTATGTATATTAAATATACTACAACTCATCATAAGTTATTTTTTGATATATTATGGAAGAAAAAGAAGTCATCACAGTATACACAGCAATTGCACTTTCTTTTGCTATGTTGTATGATTATTATTATCATTATTATTATTATTATTATTCTAAAATTTTTTATGATTAATCATAAATGTTTCACTAAATGTATTTCTACATTCAAACCTATGAATCATACAGAAAAAAGTTATTAAAAGCAATTAGATTTAGTACAAAAATTGTCTAAATGGAAAGAAAGAATATATGAATCATATTTAAAGTTTTTATATTATGGTTTTAGGGATACTTTTTATTTTCAATTATCTAAATTAAATAAATCAGTTTTTTGTTTTTAAATTCAAATCAAAAACAAGAACAAGTTAAATTTGTTCAAGATTCATAAAGGAATAAAAAGCAACTTTATAAAAGATCCTTTATCAATTACTCTGGATATTCAATCCCAAAAGAAATTGAAATCTTAGCTACAGATGTTAAAAGTTTTTATCTATACCCTTCTTTTTCTAAACATCATGTGAAAAAAAAACAATATTCTGAATTTCAAGCATTATTTGAATTTATGAAATCACAAAATACATAAAAATTTTGTCATTTGAAATCATCTTTGCAGTGTTTATTGTAAGACATCCTATGAGACAATAATCTAAGACTTAATTTCTGATAAAGTTTAAATATTTTGTAATGTGCAAACAATAAGACATTAATTTTAGAGTTCTTCAATTTCTATGGATTAATGGCTGTGAGAGTGACTTTCCTTTACCAGGTTGTTCTTATAGATTTTATACAATGGACATAGTGATATACATCCATCTGTCTCAAAATTTAAAGTTCTAATACTGTCCTACTACTGATAGCAAAGCAACACTTGGCAAGTTTCCAGGAATTCTGGGATGGAACGTGGAAGAAGTGCATACCACTGAGAAATTATAAACATAATTTCTCTAAATTAATTAATAAATATAGATTCTAAAAAGTAAATTGTTAATATGATAACTATTAATTAAATTCTTTACACAACCTACCTTATTTTCATAATAGACTTGATGTTTTCTGCCCATGCGCAGAAACATCCATTACTTTCCTTCATGTAGTTGAACAGTACTTTGTAAAACTTTCTTTAAAAAAAGGCTTTTCAATTGAACAAATCTTAGGTACCCATAATGTTATTTATTTGATCATTTCAAATATAATTCTAAAATCTATAAACAAAATTGTGCATTGCCATCTTTTATCTGTGTTTTTTTTCATCAGAACTTATAATGAAGTCTTTAAAACATAAAATATTTTGGTATCCAAATTCAATTCTATTTCCTTTATTATTTGTGAAATGTTATAAGTTTCTATAATTTTTCGAATATATAAAAGTAATGAATTTCTATCTATAAAATTTACTTTTAAATATATCTAGGAATGGACAAAATGTTTATTTAGTGTTTCATAAATTGGTAAATTCCATTAATGAATTCCTGCTTTATCTCTTCAACCAGATTCATATAAGAATGCAGCTATTGATTCACAAGAAATATTGCATTTCTTTTACAGTTGAGCTTTAATGTAAAAATTAAATATAATATAATAAGCTACAGTTCATGNAAACAAGAACAAGTTAAATTTGTTCAAGATTCATAAAGGAATAAAAAGCAACTTTATAAAAGATCCTTTATCAATTACTCTGGATATTCAATCCCAAAAGAAATTGAAATCTTAGCTACAGATGTTAAAAGTTTTTATCTATACCCTTCTTTTTCTAAACATCATGTGAAAAAAAAACAATATTCTGAATTTCAAGCATTATTTGAATTTATGAAATCACAAAATACATAAAAATTTTGTCATTTGAAATCATCTTTGCAGTGTTTATTGTAAGACATCCTATGAGACAATAATCTAAGACTTAATTTCTGATAAAGTTTAAATATTTTGTAATGTGCAAACAATAAGACATTAATTTTAGAGTTCTTCAATTTCTATGGATTAATGGCTGTGAGAGTGACTTTCCTTTACCAGGTTGTTCTTATAGATTTTATACAATGGACATAGTGATATACATCCATCTGTCTCAAAATTTAAAGTTCTAATACTGTCCTACTACTGATAGCAAAGCAACACTTGGCAAGTTTCCAGGAATTCTGGGATGGAACGTGGAAGAAGTGCATACCACTGAGAAATTATAAACATAATTTCTCTAAATTAATTAATAAATATAGATTCTAAAAAGTAAATTGTTAATATGATAACTATTAATTAAATTCTTTACACAACCTACCTTATTTTCATAATAGACTTGATGTTTTCTGCCCATGCACAGAAACATCCATTACTTTCCTTCATGTAGTTGAACAGTACTTTGTAAAACTTTCTTTAAAAAAAGGCTTTTCAATTGAACAAATCTTAGGTACCCATAATGTTATTTATTTGATCATTTCAAATATAATTCTAAAATCTATAAACAAAATTGTGCATTGCCATCTTTTATCTGTGTTTTTTTTCATCAGAACTTATAATGAAGTCTTTAAAACATAAAATATTTTGGTATCCAAATTCAATTCTATTTCCTTTATTATTTGTGAAATGTTATAAGTTTCTATAATTTTTCAAATATATAAAAGTAATGAATTTCTATCTATAAAATTTACTTTTAAATATATCTAGGAATGGACAAAATGTTTATTTAGTGTTTCATAAATTGGTAAATTCCATTAATGAATTCCTGCTTTATCTCTTCAACCAGATTCATATAAGAATGCAGCTATTGATTCACAAGAAATATTGCATTTCTTTTACAGTTGAGCTTTAATGTAAAAATTAAATATAATATAATAAGCTACAGTTCATGTTGGATTTCTAAATTTAATTTTCTTGATATTAAGATTGTCAGATATCTACACAGATTTTAAATTACATTCTAAACTTAGCTTTGATGTTTTATCTTTCAGCATTCCATATATGGGTAAATTCTTGTATAAAGATGAAAATGTGTAAAAAAAATATATAAATATTATTATTATTTCATCCTGTGCCTAGTTTAAGATCTTTAGTCAATAATAGAGATGAGAATTCATATATAGAAATTTGGTTTGATTTTGATATGTAATATTTGAAGATAGTTTATTTTATTATTTCAATTATTTCAGACCTTTAATATCATTAATAAATATTGTATCATCTGTAGAGTAAACTAATAATATATTCTAAAATATATATCTGTTTGTTACTAAAAGTAATATTAATATATAAAATAATGATAATTAGATTTGAACATAATGAAACAGCTATAACATAATTTATTTATAGCTACATATTCCAACTTAAAGCAAAATGAATAAATGCTCATATGCAGAACAAATACAGAGAACAAATCTATATTAGTATAAGTAAATAGTCATTAAAATCAAAATTTTGATGGCTATTTATTTACAGTAATATAGATTTTTAACCATCTAAAAATACTGAGATTTGTTTAAATACTGGGTTGAGATTCCACTCAAAGACAGTGAAGAACTTTAGATATTAAGCAATAGTAGTGCATAATTTTTATTAAACAACTTTATATTTAAATCTTTCTTACACATACAAATAATAATATACTGTTTTATTATCTTTTTAACATTTTCTGTTTGAATTGCCAAATGGCATGGTTTAAACTTTCCAAAATTCCCTTATGCATGGTCTTATGCATTAATATTTATATTAATCATATTCCNATACTTGTATACTTTATTTTATAAAATTTACTTATAAAATGTAATACTTTATTTTATTTTTAAATAAAATAAAGTATACTTGTATACTTTATTTTATTTAAAAAAAAATCTAAGATAAATAAATTTACCAGCTTCTTGAGGTGATGATGGTTTTGCATAAACAGCATTGAGAGGAAATCCTGGCTCTCCTGGAATATCAAACTTTGATATAGCAAGACTGTACATTTCTTGTGCACCTTGTGCTTTATTAGAACACTGAAAATAATATAAAATTTATAAGAGAACAACAATTATTAAAGAGAATATACAATAACAAATGTCAATAATATGAAATATTTTAAACTGTCAAAATTCTGAAACTAATTTAAAATAAAATAGCAAATAGCAGTTACAGTATAGTCACAAATGACTTTCTGCATAGATAAAATACTAAAAAAAAATATGTAAATCATTATAACATTTTATTTGACCACTTAAAATAAATTAACTAACAACATACAATAAAACATTTTAAACTATATAAGACATCCTAGGAGACCAGTAAAGACAAATATATATAAATATATTTCAAAATAAATAATAAAGAAAACATACATGATTTCTTAAATTAACAGATAGACAGATAACATTTTGTTCACATGAAAAAACTAACTAAATTCAATGTGAACAAATCTTAACTTCAATTTCATGTTTAAGTGTAAATAATCAGCATAATCTATACATTTGTATGCAATTTATATTTCAAAATACAGAACTCTGATTATCCAAGATAATGTGAACCAAATTTACCTCAGATAACTGAAAATCTGGATAGAATGGACTGTCACAACTATTTCAAATTAAAAGTTAATAAAATAAATAAAAGGACATAAAATATTTATATGGTAGTTCTATTAAGCTTCTTTTAACATCTTATTGAATGTAATCATACATAAAAGCAGAAATTTGACATAATTTATTGTGCAGCTAATTTGTACAATAGTTTTAAGAATAAAAACATGTACTAATGCAGTTACACTCTAATATGAATGATTTGTCTCATGAATCACTCAGATAATTTAGAACTTCAGTTAATTGGGGTTCTACTGTATAAATTTCATGTTTAAGTGTAAATTAATCACATAATTTTCCATGTATTTTATAAAGAAAAATTGAATACAAAGAATTAACATTCTAAAATTAGTGCTGAAATTGTATAGAGCTAGAACTAAATTAAAAATTTTAAAATACTAGTTTTGTAGTCTATCTGTTGATCTATTCCATTTCTGTAGGTTCTAACTGAGGAAGACCTATGAATAGGTCAAAAATGATTTTAATGTATTAATATTAAACTCATAGATGAAAGACAATAAGATGCTTTTAGTAGCTCATTGTCCCAAATCCAGTTTACTCTAAGAATATTTTAACCATCTATTTTATATTCAACTTATTAATATGAAAACGATATTTTTATATACAGTCGACTCCCCTATACCCCTATAACACTGTTGATTATTCCGTTTTATATGAATTCCATGTTGTACGAGTCACTTAGATTTTACAAATACGTGAACCGTTTATAGCTCGGCACATGTATTTGTAAAATCTAAGTGACTCATACAACATGAAATTCATATAAAACGGTGTAATCAACAGTGTTATAGGGGGTCGACTGTAATATTGACATAGAAAGTAAATATTTAGTTATTTTAAGCCTTATAAGAGAATTATTCTATTAATTTCTTGTTTAGAATTAAACTATCAAAGAATTTAATTATAATTTTGCTCTATATATCAAAACAAGGCATTTTTAAATTATTATAAATTAATAATTCACAAAAGCTAATCTTATTTATGTTTTCTTTGTATTCATATTTACTTATTTATTTTGATCTTTTTAGCAATGATATGTCAAATGATTAATGCAAAGATTCAACTGTATGTAGAAGATTTGTACTTTCTACAACTCAAAAAATAATTTAAATTATATTACATAGTGTGCTTTATAGACACTATGTAATAGCTAAAAATGATCTAATTTTCGGAAATTCAACCACTTTCAGATTATCAAAGAAAATAAACAAGTTTTCTTTAGCAACACAAATGAACAGATAATAAATGAAAAAACATATAGAATACCATTATAGCAATTGAAAAAAGTTAATAAGAGGACATTTAGTAATTTATTAGGAAGGATGTTTAAGAATTTATTACACACTCAGCCATTTAGGAATTTAGAAAAAAAGGCATTATCTGAGAAGTTAGAAGAAATGGGTGGCAATACAGTTCCACAAGAATTTAATAATAAAAAAAAATAGTTCATTCCATCTATCATCCATTATTTGCCTTTTCTAATTTACAGATTTTAAACCAATTTAAAAAATTAGCAGTACAGAATAATTAAGACCTAATCATCAAATGCAACTTAAAAAGTTTCTAGAACAGTGTTTTTCAACCTTCTTCGATAAGCGACCCCTTTACAAGTTAAAAAATTCTGGCGACCCCAGGGCCATATTAAAACTATGTCAGTGATTTTAAAAACTACGTATTTAAGTTTCTTTCTGTTGACACCTAAATATCGATAAAAAACCAATTGTAAAATAAACAGGCACAGCCTTCTCACTGAGTTTGTAGTTTTTTTTATTGTAGTGTAGGACCTACAAATACTTGTTTTTTTTTCTTTTACCCGCGACCCCCTGTGTAATGCTTTGCGACCCCCTGGGGGTCACGACCCACAGGTTGAAAAACACTGTTCTAGAAGATTAGAAATGTTTAATCCAAATGTAAATAGCAGAAAAGAGAAAAGAAAACAAGAACTCAACAGAAGACATAAATATGAGAATTATTGTAGAATAATCAACACTAGAACACTTTAAGTGTGTATGAAGGAACATAAATAGAACATAATAGAGTACATACAGAAATGTTTCTTATTCCTTACCAGAAATATCATTAGAAACAGGTATGAAAATAAGAGGAGATAATGTAGAACTACATGAAAAAATCCATGCATGAGAGAACATCAATGTTACCAAAATCTTGATCTCTAGAATAAGCTTTGAAAATACAATAGATAATATTAAAGGTTTGACATTAGTCCGTAAGCATAGAAATATTTTGGTTAAAATTGGCTGACAATACTTTACATATTGTAAATATACAAGTGTCTCAAAAGTCACTACACTATTTTGGTGACATTAATGTTTTTTAAAAAAAATACTATGCTGTTGTAAAGATATGTATCTTTAGTGTAAATTGTGTACTTACAAAATGTTAATTGGTTTATGTCAAATTTTGTGTAATTGTTAAATTTTCCATTCAGACTCACATCACTGATGATAAACATGGAAGAACAAGTATTTGTGATAACATGGAATATAAAAGGCTTGAAATGCAAGAAAATTAAAGACAATTTTGAGAGGAAGTTGCATAAGAAAAGTCCAATGGACAAAGCTATTCATAAGTTGTTATTCTTGAAAATATGTTTTGAAAACAACTTATCACTTTGAGCTCTGCAGAGATACTGATAGTTGTCATATGGAGCACTAATTTTTTATGGTATAACTTTGAAATAAATATATTTTTCATGTTTAAACCAGATTTTTTTAATAATTCCTGTTATTTTTCAAAATAGATACTGACTTTTGAAACACCCTATATATTGAAGAAACAAAAAAAAAATGTCTTTATTTAGCTCTGTCATTCAAATTCACAGAAACAAAAAAGTGTTTTCAACCACAAAAACAACCGTTCATTTGAAGTTATGTTTGTGAAAATATACAAAAATATTTTAAGAAGTTGTCTGATGATGATGCAAAATAAAACAAATAACTTAAAGATGACAATTTATGTTTCTTCAATATATATATATATATTTAAAATGTAAATTATTGTCAGCTAGTTTTAATCAAACTTTAACTAATTTGTTTTATATTGAATCATCATCAGATGATGTCTTTTTTAAACTATTTTGCATATTTTCACAGAGGTATAGCTTTAGATAAAAGATTGTTTCTATAGTTGAAAACACTTTTTGTTCTTGGTAAATATGACGGATGGATTTAATTGTTTTTGTACTTTTAATTCTTTTTTTTATAGATGTTTCATTTATTTTACTTTTGTATTCATAATTTCAAGTGTTCTTATAATATAATAATGGAAAGTAATTTCGTTTTTTTCACCACCAGAAGAATTAGTTGTATTTTTACCTACCAATTTCATTTTAAACCATATTGTCATTATACATTTTGACAGCAGATATTTCAAGGCTTATTTGTAAAAAATTTTGTTTGATTCTGTGCAATTGTTGTTTTTTTTTTTTTGGTGTCCCATCAAATATGGAAAATCAAAAGCAGCATTTTCAGCATATTTTGCTTTTTTTTTTTTTTTATCAAAAAAATAAAAATTCTGTTTAAGCAAGAAAAAACTTGTGTGACATGAATGGAGAAGATGTGTTGACAGAACAACAGTGCCAAAACTGGTTCACAAAATTACATTTTGGCAATTTTGATATTGAAGATGTACCATGTTCTGGAAGAGAAATGTTCACTTAATTGATGCAAATGGATTGCACATTGAACAAATGCTGTGAATAAAAACCTTTTGCGTGTTTCCATTTTGTGTTTCTTGTTCTTGATGTGCCATTTTTTTCACCTAGTGGTAAAAATTCGAACTAAATATTTTTTTGCATTTTCCTTTTCCCCTTGGTCTATATAACATATATACCAAGTTTCATCAAAATACATCCACAAGAATGGGCTCTAGACAGATCTGAGTAGTGCAACTTTAATTTATAACCACCCTGTATATTATCAATACATTCTATTTTGTAATGAACACAGAATTATTTTACTTTGCACATGTAAATTATTGAATATTTGTTTCATTCTTATTCTAGGAAAGATTTTAGAAGAAATTCTGATTATTTTATTATATAAAAAATTAAACTTCAGAAATAAAATGTTTTTATAAAAAAATAAATATATATGTATATATTTAAATAAAATGTAATTATAACACAATATCTGTTTTACCTTTTGTAAACGTTTGAGGCATTCTGTTATATATAAAGTCAAATATATTAACACTCTGTCTGCTTCACTCTGAAATAAAAATTAATATGAAATGATATTTAATAATAATAAATGAAATAATTTAATAATACTCATTATTAAATCATTCATTCATACTGTACCTTTATTTCATATGTTCTAAAGAATACATTTGCTTTGAAGAAATATAAAGCTTCTTCAATTATATCTAAATCACCAGCTTAAATTTAAGTAAACAAACAAATTACTTTAGATATGTTCATTTAATTCATTTTAATATTGTAATAAAATATATTTACACTAATAATTGAATATACAGTAGAGCATCGATTATCCGAATCAATTGGAGACTGGGGTTGTTCAGAAAATCGATATTTCGGATAACCGATTATGTACGAAAAAATATATTAACCTATCCCATGTTGAAAGTTTTCTCCGTTGTGTGTTGCTTCGCGTTGAATTTTCGTCGATGTTAAGCCTAACGTAAACTTTTTAAAATAATAATTGTGACTATTGTATCGTTAAAAATTATTTCTTTATTTTGTACAAACAAAATAAATATATTGAAAAATATAAAAACAATAAAAAATTATATTTCAGAAGTTAATTTAGTATCAAAAACGTAAAATATTTGAGTAGCCCAGGACATAGCCAAAGATTGCAGCACCACAGCACTGGCAAAAATTTAAATTTGCCGATTGGAATTCTTTCGGATAATTGATGTTTCGGATAATTGACGCTCTACTGTATACTTAGTGTATAATACTTAAAATAACATAAATTTGAATTATTTTAATATTAGAAAGATTAATATCTTAAGATTATAATTTTGTAAACATTTAAATTATTAATATAGGAAAATTACTTTCTTTTGGAGCTGGTCCTCTAAATTGGGTACGAATTGGCAAAAGAGCCATGTTTCCTATTACTTGTGGGGGATTTAGAAATTGAGAATGATATGCCTACAAAAATATAATATAATTATATTAGAAATTTACAACTTATTTTAGTATACAAAATAAAGTACAAGAATTAATAAGATTTTTTTAAATGGAACACTGGCAATTCTCAACTTTTAGACATAATTCATTCCTAAAAATGTGCATGAAAATTGAATGTCCAAAAGTCAAAAAATAGAGCTGCATGTTTAAAGGAAATGCTATTTCTAGACAGTTAAAATCAAAAATCAAACTCTTTTAACATAGAAAAGTTTTATACTTTTACAGGGAATATGTCACAATACATGAAATGCTAAAACCATAACAGCTAATAAGATTAAGTCAGCTTTATTTTAAGTTTCTACAAATAATTTTTCAGCTATCTAAACCAAAAGTGGCAGAAAGTTCTATTGTTCAATAGCTTGAAATTTTTATTTGTTGATTGAAAATGTACAAAAGTCCAAATTTGGTACATTAAAACAATTTAGGTGTATAAAAGTGTTACCTTATGTATAAAAGGAGTGCATTGTCCAAAAATTATGGATTATATTTAAACATTAAAAAACTTTCATGAAACAACATTAAATTACATAATACTATAAACAATATATATTTTATATTTATAAAAAGAAAATTACAATTTTATTTATTTTACTAAAAAATATGTTTTGATTTACTGTTGCACTGTAACATAAAAAACTGTAAAAATCCCAAAGAATGCGATGTTAAGAATGTAAAAAAAGAACAAAATCTGTATTGTTATGGACACATTGGCATTCTGCCAGTATTGTAGATCATATCTATACCCAAGCAAGCAAAACAACCTAAAGAAGTCACCTTTCATGAAACATTACTTTCCAAAACATTTCTTGCAGTATTAAAGCAATTTGCAAAAATTACTAAAAACTTAGGAAACTATTCCAATATTTTTGCTAAGTTCTTAAAATTAGTATGTTCATTTTCACAAGAGAAGACTAAAAATGCTGATATGAAATGAAATATATTATTAAAGTTCACGAAACTAACCATAAAACCAGCAAAAATCAAACACTTTAACCAAAACAAATGTTCTCATTTACTTTTAGCAATCATTGTCAGGTTTACATTCACTGAAGATGTAGAACAAACTACAGAACAAAACACGTTTACAAATTTGAATTAGAACATTGATCTTATTGGTCATTGGTGAAGGCTGATCCTGAATTAACTAAGTTTTTTATTTTTATTTCAAATAATAATTTCTACAAGGGTGATATTGTGTTGGCTTCTTTGTAATTGATAGCTCCTCATTTTTACTGCCTTTACAAATTTTCATTCTAATTCAAATTTGTAAAAATTTTTTGTTCTATATTTTTTTCTATATCGTTAATGAATGATGATCACTAAGATGATGATGAATGACCCAATGATGATAACTAAAAGTGATTGAAAACATTTGTTTTGATTAAACTGTATGATTTAGTGAATTCAGTGAATTTTAATAAGCACATCCAGTTTATTATACAGTGATATCTCGGTTTTCATTGATAATCCATCCAAAAACAAATGGGAAAATCCAAAACCGACGAAAACCGAGGCAATGACTTCCATATGAATCAATGTAAATCCAATTAATTCGTTCTAGACACTCCAAAATACATACCAAAAACACGTTTTATAGAGAATAAATATAGTGTGTGTGTTTGGTTAGCACAATGTTGCTGTTGAGAACGTATCATACAGGAACACTTTAAGAGGAAAAAGGGTTGCTTTATTGACTTGGACGGATATGCATTTCGGGCTTAATGCCCCTCTTCAGTCCTATTATTATTACATAATTATCAAATTGGTTACAGGTATCAAAATTTACAGAATTCATTTAAAAAATTAGTATACGCGTACAGTGATTTATATGATAAAATACAATTACCTGAGATAGTGACCATTAAGCTGGTATTACACATAAGATATATATACACATATTTAAACACGGGAGGAGGAATGAGCAAATAGTGCTATCAGATCAATATACATGCACCTGAGGATAGTATAATGTGTGTTAAAATNCACATTAGATCCTGGGTCCCCCAGAGTAGTAGGCTACCACCTTGACCGCTCAGCAATCAGGCTGTCATAGAGAAGTTGTTTGGCTAGATGCAGGGGGGAGGTAATTCTCACACAACGAGAAACAATGCCACTCTGAGCAGGAAAACGCGTGGGTCGCCCTTTGTTTTTGCAAAATTAGCAGTGAGGTCACATGGGCACACCAACGAAAACCGAGACAAATTTTTCGCAAAAAAAAATCGACAAAAACCGAAACCAACGATAACCGAAGTCAACGAAAACTGAGGTATTACTACTGCTTTTGAAATATATTATAAATATGAGGTTATTTGCTGACATATATTTAGTATGTCATAGTTCCTTTGATTTTTTTTTCTTACTAGAAATAGTTCACAGAATTCAAAGATCTCAGAAAAGAAAATCTTACCAATACATTAAAAAATAAATATGATAATTATATCTATTTATTTGTTCTAAATAAACAATAATATAATAAGTTATAATTTAATATATTTTAAAGCTAATAAATCTCTGTAAGAATTAACTGATATTAGGTATTTTTTCAAAAATTGGTTTAAGAATAACTTGGCTAGGAATTACATCTTCTATAATTATAAATAGTAAAAGATTTTTACTTTCTTTTTTGTTTTTGTGTAGTTCAAAGTTTGTTATGATTATGACAGACAAATATTAAAACATCATTAAAAATTTATAATTGATAAGATATTACCAATTTTAAAATTTAACAAAAACTGACATAATTCTTAAGCATGAATTAAAGAATTGATCTATGAATGAATAAATCAAATCAATTTTATTATTAATCCTCAGCAATTAAATATTATGAAAGTAATGAAATCATTCTTTATGATTCACTGAATTAGACATCACTGAATCATAACAAAAAAATGTTATGATAAATATAGCAATAATATTTTGCAACTGTATATAAACAACAGTCCAATAATTAATATTTTAACACAATCAACTTATCTCTAGATCAGCAGCTTCCAACTCATTTTTATTGCAGAACCTTTTTTCAGGGTTTCAACATTTTTTACTAAGGTTTTCACTTTAGTAAAAAATGTTGAAACACTGACAATTTTTTAAGATTATAGATAAAAACACAAATAGAAATACCAAAATCAATTTATGGAGAATCCAAAAACAAAACATAGAAAAAAAAATTAATAATGGAAAGCATATTTTACTTAATTCAAACTACCACAAAGTACAAATCCAGCACTAGTGCCTGGATTTATATTTTCATTTGTGTCCGCCCTTTCAGTCCTCCTTGTCACTAGAAATATTTGAAGTACTTGCTACATTTTTTTTCAAAACTCTTCTCTCAGCCAATGCTCTGTGATTTTTTAATTTAAGATATACACAATACTAAAAGCACTATAAATTTATATGATTTCCACTATATTTTTATATGAAAAAATACTTAAAATATCATAAAACAATTGCAGTGCAAAACTGATACTCTGATTGATATGACCATTTCTACGGTATACTGTTGTACCACAACACACTACAGATGATAGGACATCAATTAACCTCTTTGCGACATGTGACATTCATCTGACACAAGTGTCCCAACACTAGCATTGTAGTGTGTACAATACCACCGGGAATCTGACTGGCCACGCCCGTCATTAGATTCAATAGGCCTGTGCTGCAGATATTGATGAATTGAAGCATATTTAATGATTGTATTATTATTTATATGTTAGATACTTTTTAAGGTTATTTTTTAAATGATTTTCTATTTTTAGGTTAAGTTTTACCATTTTAATAGTTTCTATTAGCTTGTCAAACATTATATTGTAATTTTCATTCATTCTGTTTCCAATAAATCAGTCCCCACCGTTTATAAAGCTATAAGTAACAACCAAAGGCTGAAGCTAGGGTAGATGGAACTCTTAAGTCCAGAGAAGACAGTCCATCTAGAAGAAGGAAAACTCTGATTCTAAACCAGGGTAGGTAGGACTCTTTAACAAGGGATTGTAGCCTACCTTCAAGAAGGAAACTTGGAGAGCAAACCACCTGATGTATGTTCCCATGTTAGGAGCAGTTACATATCATTTAAGGAAGAAGGCAATGGTAAACCACTTCCTCAACTATTGCCAAGAAAACTACATGGACAAGGAATTTCATAATAGAGATACAGTCGCCCCCCCTATAACGTGGGTTCCTATAATGGAGATTCCTATAACGTAGCGAAAAAATTGCGACAGTATTCGTATAAGGAAGCTAAAAGGGACTCGTAAAACATTGTCGTCGACTCGTGTTGCAACAGGATTGGTCGAATCTGGACTAATAGTGGACGAGCAGCCGAACTACTTTCCGCCGTCCAGCACCACGCTACGGAGAGTTTAGGCGAGTAAGTTGAGTTTACTATCGTCTGTACAGTATGTAAGTTAGGTAACGTAAGTCTAATACACCACTAATTTTATACATTTCTTGTGAAAGAAACATTTCTTATTCAACAGCCATAAAAATTATTTATATTAATGATGTCTCCAAAGTTCAACGAAATTTTCGCAGAAAAATAACTTATCAGAAATCACGACCGCTGTTTGGTGCACTGCTCCGCGATGAAAACAAGCTTAAGCAATGGCGACGTCAAACGGTGCACACTCGGTAAGTAGTCCTACAATTTTTTGTTTATAGAATAGTTTATACGGATTATTCCCAAAAAATTATACGTGTTTTGGAAATGTTGAGTTGAATTAGTCTAGAATTGATTAATTTTATGGAAGAAAACCTTTCAAACAGCCGTAGTCCGTAAACTTCACACGTGTCGGGCTGCGATTGGCTCATGTATTTAAGGATTCCTATGTGAAATTCGAATAACATGGAATGTATCTAAGCATTATAGGGGGGGTCTACTGTATAGTGCTGGAGGATGAGACCCTCAGGTTCGAAAGCACTCTAACTTCTACTGGGGATGAACAAGGAACTTCACTGACTAGGATTGAACATAATGACATGATTAAGTCAAAGCCGAAAGGGAGTTTAATCATTGAGGCAGTCAATCACAAAAAGAAAGTTCCAAGTTTCTTTAAACAACACATATTTGCAACATGGAATGTGAGAAGCATGTATGCTGGTAAACTAGACATACTCAAAAGTGAAATGACAAGAATAGGGATAGAAGTGATAGGAGTCAGTGAGCTAAAAAGGATAGGAATGGGACACTTTGATTCAAATGACTTTAGGATCTTCTACTCTGGGCATGATAACTTAAGAAAAAATGGAGTGGCTCTAATTGTAAAAAAGAATTTAGTGAATTTTATTTTGGGTTATAAACCAGTTAGTGACAGAATCATAGTCTTGAGGATGCAGGGAAAACCAGTCAATCTGTCAATCATTCAAGTTTATGCTCCTACTACAGAAGCCACAGAAGAAGAAATTGAAGGGTTTTATGAAAAGCTTCAAGAAACAGTTAATACTTTACCAAGAAAAGATGCACTCTTTATCCTTGGTGACTGGAATGCAAAAGTAGGAAAAGAAGAGACTCCAGGACATGTAGGAAGATATGGTCTTGGGAAAAGAAATGATGCTGGGATACGACTAGTGGAATTCTGCATTTCAAATAACCTTTTTATTGCAAATACATATTTCCAATTACATAAACAAAGACTATTTACATGAACATCACCAGATAGAAAGTATAAAAATCAGATTGATTATATAATAGGTAGCAAGAGATGGAGGAATGCAATCAAATCAGCATGTACCAGACCGGGTTCTGACTGTGGGACTGATCATGAACTCCTTATCTCAAAAATATCATTCCATTTGAAAGCTAAGAAAAAAGGAAGTGAAATAATGCTATGTTATGGGACGTTATGCTAGAGATATCACTCCATCTTACATCTCAGAAATAAAGGAAGGTCTCAAAACAATTAATACATCAGGAAAGGAACCTGATGAAATCTGGGAGTCTTTAAAAAACACCATTAAAGATACTGCTGATAAATGCATAGAAAAGAAGAAGGAAAACAAGAAAATGCCTTGGCTGTCAAAAAATCTTTAGAAATTGCAAACACTCGGAGACAAATGAAAATTATAGGAGATCGTCAAACAATTAAAAAATTAACTGCAGAGTTCCAAAGACAGGCTAGGAAGGATAAAGAAGAATATCTTAATAATAAATGCAAAGAAATTAAATTAAATAATGCAAAAGGACGTACAAGGGATCTCTTCAAAAAAATTAAAGAAGTCATAGGAAAATTTACCCCTAGGCTTGGTATTTTAAAGAACATACATGGAAAGGATTTAATGGAAGAAAGTGAAATAAAGAGAAGAAGGAAAGAATATAAAAGAATATACAGAACAACTTTATAAAGCAGATAATAATATAGAAGAAATAATTGAAGGAAGACATTTTACTTTGGAATCATCAATTTTGAAGGAAGAAGTGGAATGGGCAATCAACCAAATTTCAATTGGGAAAGCAGCAGGAACTGATGGAATTCCAGTGGAGCTGCTCAAAGCATCTGGGGAGGAAGGAATTAGAATACTAACAAAGCTATGCCAACAAATATAGGAAAATAAGGTTTGGTCTAAGGAGTGGAAGCAATCCATTTTTATACCAATCCCAAAAAATGGCAATGCAAGAGAATGTTCCAACTATAGAACAAGAAGCAAAGACTAAAACAAGAACTAATCCCCCATGCAAGTAAGATTCTGTTAAAAATAATACAGAAGAGAATTGAGCCATATTTAGAAACAGAATTACCACTGGAACAGGCTGGATTTAGAAAGGGAAGAGGAACTCGCGATCAAATTAGCAACATCAGATGGATTCTAGAAAAGGCAAAAGAGTACCAGAAGGATGCCTTCTTTTGTTTTATAGACTATAGTAAAGCCTTCGATTGTGTGGATCACTCCAAGCTATGGAAAGTACTCAAGAGCATGGGAATTCCTGAACACCTTATATCTTTATTGATAATTCTTTACAATGAACAAGAAGCAAAAGTAAGAACTCTATATGGAGAAACTGAATGCTTTAAAATTGAGAAAGGGATGCAACAAGGCTGCATTTTGTCTCCATATCTGTTTAACTTATATACTGAATATATCATGAGAATGGTTACTACAAATGAAGAGTCCATTGGTATCAAGATTGGAGGCAAAACTATTAATAATATAAGATATGCAGATGATACCACGCTTTTGACAGAAAGCAAACAAGATTTAGAAAAACTTATAAAAGTAAAGGAAGAAAGTGCTAAATTTGGTTTGAAGCTAAATGTAAAGAAAACTAAATAATGTCAACTAAAGAGTTAAAAGATTTCATTGTGGACGGTGAAAGAATTGAAGTGGCAGAAAGGTACATACTTTTGGGCTCAAAGATAGAAAGGAATGGAAGTTGTGAAGGAGAAATCAGAAGGAGAATTAACCTTGGCAGAACAGCCATGGCAAATCTCACCAAGATAATGAAAGATAGAGACATATCCATCCATACTAAGAAAAGAATTGTAGAAGCAATGATTTTCCCTGTAACATTATATGGCTGTGAAAGCTGGACTCTAAGGAAAAAGGAAAGAAAAATGATTGATGTATTCGAATTATGGGTATGGAGATGATTATTAGAGTTCCATGGACAGAAAGGAAAACAAATATCTCAATTTTAGAAAAAATTAAGCCAAGCTTCTCTTTAGAGGCAAAAATCTTAAAACAAAAATTGACCTACTTTGAACATGTGATGCATAAAGAAGTTTCCCTAGAGAAGACTATTATGCTGGAAAAAGTGGAAGGTAGAAGGAAGAGGGGAAGGCAACGGATAAGATGGATGGAAGAAATTGAGAAAGTCACAGAAATGAAGCTGGAGGAGCTATGAGAGACAACAAGGGAAAGATCAAGATGGAGAAGACTTGTCCATGAAGTCACCAGGAGTCGGCGAGGACTCGATGGAACTTAACACACACAACTCTAGCATATGTATAAGATGCCATAAGAAGATTCAGTCTGAGACTAGAATAATTACACCTCACATCCCAAATCTGAATTGACACATTCATATAACATTAGACTCAATGGATTTTATTGTAGAACCCTAAATTTTATTGGTAGAATCCTAGGGTTCCACAGAACACAAGTTGGGAACACTTGGGCCATGTTCAGTAATGCAGAACACCTAAGTTAGAATTCTGAGTGGCTTAGTGGGCGGAGCTAAGAATACATAAAAGAAGCTAGTGGTGGGAGGAGTCAAGCAATAGTTAGAAATGAGTTCAACATTGCAGCATAACTAGACTTAGCAAGAATTCTGCGTTACTGAACACGGCCCTGCTCTAGATCCTAGCATCATTCTACTATGCAAATATTTCTAGGTTAAAATATTAAATATTAGTTTTAACAAACAATTCAGTCTGAAATCATTTGCACATCCATATCCACATTTGCATATACTTTAGTTAGGGAAGAAGTGGGTGATCCCAGTCACTGTGATGTATATAAAACTAGGACATGTGTACATTATGTCATTATGTGAGAGAGCTGTGAGAAGGTGCCATATCTCACTGCAACTTGTTTGTTCAAATAGCTGAGTCAAGTTGAAAGAGGGACACAAATTGGTTTGAAAGTAATATAACATGAATGCAAAATAGAAGGTGAGTATATTTTGTTTTCATTATTTCCTTTTATAATTTCTATGTTTTTATTTTGTGAAATGTATCTGAAATTAATTAGGACTGATGATGTTTTTGTATCAATATGAATAATACATTACTTTCTTTTTTCCTTCAGTATTTGTATTTGAGCAGTTCTGATCAACTGACCCACTATTGAATGATTTGAATTCACTTAATTTCTTTCTTTTTTTTTTTTAATTTTAGATGTATTAAACAAAACTTAGAAAGACAACCAGAAGTTGGTGGTCAGAAGAAGTTATGCTGAATGCCATTGAGATAGTAAATAAAGATTCTTTTGTATGGGCTGCTGTGAGATGTATGAATTTTCAACATTGCAAGAATGAATTTAAAAAAAAAAGTTTTCCAAACCATCCTTAAGCCAATATACTGTGTTGGCCTAAGATTGGTTTGGATCAAGAAGAAAGAGTTAATGTAGTAAAATTGAACTTAAGATAATTATTCTACAGATTTTGTATCTTTAAAAAATTCATGATAGTGGTCTGTGGGATTCAAAATTGTGACTTTAGTGGTCCGTGAGGTCAGAAAGGTTGCCGACTGCTGATATAGTGCACACCAGAAACAAATGTCAGATTTGCGACGAGTTTGGTCAAGATAACGAGTTATGGTGTAGGTGCACTATATATGAATTTGGGCACACATTGAATATCTGGATACTATAGTTCATCCGATTACATCTACAAGATGTTTCAAGGACATAATGGACCATTGTTATCACCTTAGGTGACCACATTTTCCACACAAGTTGACAATACTCATCATTCTTATTGTTTTTAATTTCATTTTTCAATATTATCTCTCATTATCCAAGTGTTTATTTTTTCTGTTATTACAGTTCCTATAGAATAAATTAAAATTTGTTTAGTTTGGATTTTTCCTTAAGTAACTGCCATTACCCCTCCTTCCCTATACCATAAAATAGAAATTCAAACTGTTTTTATATTCCATTATTTTTTGCCATCAAAATATATACAAATTTGCCAAGAAATGCACACATCTAACATTCAGAAACTTGAGAGAGATAAAATTACTAAAAACTATATTTCAGTTGAGATGAGTATCAAGTTATATATTTCATGTAGGACATCTTTACCATAAATATAATAATGTTAAAGGACTAAGATCTCGTGAATAATAATCAGTGAGTTACCACATGGCACATCTCAAGAATAAGACACGCCATTTAACTTGTTTATCAATACCGTAATCACAATGAAGTTTTAAATCAGTTCCGATCGCAAAAACAAAGAAAGTGATCATTTACTTACAGGCATTATAAAAGAATTTAGATTCAGGTAACTACAAAAAAAAGGAATCGAGACACTCCCTCCAGCTTCTAACTAATCTCGCCGTCCCCACGATTTCCGCTGTCCGTTCAGAATCGTACGCCATCTGATGGAGCTTATAGGAAATATAGTATTTATTACTATATTATATAAATTATTTAATATATGAATATGAATAATTTAAATAATAAAAAATAACGTTTGAACAAGATAAATTTTTTATCGAAAACACCTGTATTAAAAATAATTTCTTGCCTTGATTAAAATTATTTAATATTAGGGTGGTTCACCCTCTCCTCTGACCGGAGCACGGCCTACAATAAAAACAGCCTAGTCAAATGGGGGAAATCCCGGTTCATCGGAGAAAAGGTGACCAGCCAGAATATCCATATCAGAGAAGGAAAGAAAGAAAGGGGAGAAATCCCGTAGAAGTGTTGTGTCCAAAGGAAAATATTCTCTCCCGCTAGATGGAGCCACACCACAGACCATAACAGCACACAGCTGATTAAGTTATCCTAGCACATGCTGTCATATGCTCGTAAAACAAAACAGTAATTCAAACTTAGGATATAGCAAATTATTAATTTTTTAAATTAAGTTTTTGCCCAGATTTCCGCAGAACAAACTAAAACAATAGATATACTGTATTGTCAACAATCATCTAGACCAGGAATGCCCAACCCGCGGCACTTCGGCCCGCTTAATATTTTTTATGCGGCCCACTGCAACCTAAATTTTGTAGTTATATTTTAATTTATTTTGGTAAAGTATGTTGTAAAAATTATTCTCGTTTCACTGGATACACTTTGATGTCGTAATGACGTAATTAGTGACATAATTTGTAACTTACCAATCAAAAAAGTAGGAAGCGTGGTCTGATATTTTGATTGTTTCGGTTTCAAAGATTTTTGTAATAAAGTGATGTTGTTAGTGATAAAGAATGGGTACTTTTCATCATCTTTCATACTTTTCATTCTATTTATTTCTAATTACAAGGTATATAATACAGACATAGATTACATATTTAACATTCACAAACTTGGGAGAGATAAAATGATTAAAAACTGTATTTCAGTTGAGATGAGTATCAAGTTATATATTTTAAAAGATACTATATATTTCATTTGCTAACCTAATAATTTAAATATCTTCAACCTGAAATTATATTCATAATTATTTCATCAACTTTAAATTTATATTTTTAATAACCCAGCATTTGGTCATGATATCTAATACTAAGAAAAGAAAAATAGCAGAAGGAAAGAGAAAATTCATTATATTTTGGATAGAAAAATATTTTTTAATTGAAACATGCAATAATATTATCTGCCTTAATTGTTTTGTCATGGTAAAATTGCCGTGTGTAATATTAAGCGTTACTATGCTGCCAAACATGAATTAGAATATAATAAACTAGCAGATGAGCCCGGCAAAAAATAACAACAAATTAATTAATAACACAATCTTGTGTTCAACACTCAAACATTAAGATTACTAGATTATTTTGTACTTCTAACAATTCTATTATATTATATTATAGTAGTCTACTTGATTTATATAATTACGAACGTTATCTTACGTAAGGGTTTAAAACACCAAGTGCCTACTGTCACGCATTCTAAAAATTTTTTAAATTGTGTACAATAGAAGAATAAATAATTTTTAAAATGCATTAGATTGGAACTCGGTGTGATAAACTCTTACGTAAGATAACCTTCTTAGTTATATAAATCAAATACTATAATATAATAAATATTAAAACGAAAAGCATATAAAGAGTTCGAATTTTTTTAGCCTATCATTCAATTTCATTGGTCAAATAGACACCAATTGAAAATGTGGTATCTTAAATTTCTTCAGATATAATTTTTTCTCTATCTCTAAGAATGTTACCTCTAAGAAATTGTTTCATTTACAGCCGAATATCAAATTTTGTGCAGGCTGTATCTTCGTATTGTGTAATTTTCCTATTCAAATGCCACCATACCGCTGGTCCGATAGAAAGAAGGAGTTGTGGAAGAAGTTGAAGTAATTTGAGAAAAAGTAGTCGTTGACCTCCCCCTGAAAGAGAGGATGGTCAATCACTACTAATTACGTGACACTGGTCTACCGTTAATGTTTGAAAAGTGATCCATGTTAGACAGGTTGTGATGGCTCCGCATGAGAATGAGTTGCTAACCTTAATGTTCGAAATACTTCATATGACTTGTATAAATAAAAAAAATTCTTGTAAAACTGAGAATAATTGCTTTTATGCTATACCTATGCAAAAACACTATATCTCACTATATCATTTATTAACTGTAACAAACGTTTTCAATCTTTATCCAACGTTTTTTAAATCTATTTTATTATTTTAAATTGTATATATATTACTGTAATTTATTATTTGAATTCAAATAGCTCAATTTTCCAAAGAATTTTATATTTTAAATGTGTTCTCAACTGTTTTATACAAAAAAAAAAAGTTATCAATATTCCTTAATTTTTTTAATACCTGAAAGATGACCTGTAGAACAGGTTGAAAACGTTTGTTATGATTAATAAATAATTCTCAGTAAGATAAGGTGTTTTTGCCTAGGTTAAGAAGCATATACCTGGGTATTACGTGTGAAACCTCAAGTACGATCTGACTTAATGACGATTTTATTCGTTATTAGTATTTACCATTTTTAATATAAATCTCATTCCTACCCTCAAAATTAAGCTTTTTGCCATTTTATAATAATTAATAATATAAAAAGTTTTTATATAACAAAATCTCATAACAGATGGCGTCACACATTTTTATTATGATTAATAATATAAAAGTTATTTTTAAAATAAAATTTCATAACAACCGAGAATGCTACGCAACTCGTTGACATATTTTTTAATTAAAAGTAACTACAAAATTTTACAAACATAAAAATGTATAAAATATTGATGAACTTTTAATATTTCATTTAATTAAATTATTTTTCGGGATAAATTCTGCTTTTATAAAATTACTTCATAAAACTTCATTTCTTACATGTTTACTGTATTTTCATATTATTAACTTCGACACATCCAATTAACTTTCTTCTATAATCATATCCTCTTATTTTAACGTTGACTGTAGCACTCCGGCGCTAGAAATTATAATAAATAATAATAATAATTAGTATATATTAATTTATAAATGAGTTAGTTTTAATTGAAATAGTTCAATGGCATCGATTAAATCTCGAGCGATTTTTGCGTAAATCTCTACAAAAAATTGTAGATAAAAAATAATTTAATGTTTTTGATATTAATTATCGATGTATTATATACATCGATAATTATATACAGGGTGATTCAAAAGGTCTTAGACAAACTTTAAAGTTGGGTCAGGAATACAAAAAAAAGACCATTTTTACTTAGGAACACATAGTCGCAAACATTAGAGGTTTTCTCCGAAAAGTTACGTAACTTGTTGCTGGATTTTATTTTACTGATTGTTACATTTCTTTCCCCCAAACCAAAAGTTGCCGTTTTTATACGAAACTTTCATGACAAGAACTTTTTGCAAGAAAATCAAAACAGCTGAAATACATAAACATATTACTGCATGTCTGTAAACCCTTCACATTTTCATTTACAAGGATATTCAGATTATTTTAGATATGTTATTAAACTCAAAGATATGCAATAATAAGAAATAAGATTAAGTAATAAAGCAGCATAGTAATTGAATGAGCTTGGTGTTTCCGTTTTGCATTAATCCTTTCCTGTGCATGCACTGAGGAGTAGATAATCCGCTATCCGGAGAGTAGATAGCGAACTAGTTTCCGGATAACACCCTTAGACATAAAAAGATTGTTCCGTAAGAACCTGTTCCTCTCACGGCCAGAATCTCCATATAAACCCCGAACGAAAGAAGAAAGAACCTGGTCCTCTGATGAAAATACAACTTACGTACACCACCATAGGCTATGGGTTATTGATTTCCATATCTAATAATCTTCGTTTAAAACTTTACTACATAGGTTGGCCCGGCGTTGCTCGGGCAAAAGTAACGATAGCGAAGATTAAGATTATTACGTTATAGTCAACCTTACCCGTTTTCACAGAATGCAAGAATTGGGTTCCCTGTTTCCAGACTAATTAGAGAATTTTTAGATGAGTTTAAAAATATGTTCGATTTCTCGCAAAAACGAAAAAAACTGCATCTGCATCTTGCATGTCGCTTTCTCTTAACAATTTCATTGTTACGTAACACTTCCATTGTTGACGGAAGTGTTAAGCCTTAATCCTGTCCTTCTCCCCCGTGGGGAGGAATTTCGGAAAATCCCTTCTTAGTGTGCATTCTCGTGACGTACCCTGTGTACCAAATTTGAACTTTCAACTCCTAACCGTTTGGGCTCTGCGCTTATTATTATTATTTTTTTTTTTCCTTTGTGGTTTTAGGCCCCTTACCGCTCAGAGAGCACAAAGAGGCCAATAATATTATTATTATCAACCCATCTCGATTATATATATATATAAAGTTTTTTTTACATTTTTAATTGTTAAAACGGCACCCCATTGCACGATGTGCTTCGTTACAATGCATACCTTGCTTATTGCCTATGTAGGGCGGCGCTACACCCGTATATTAATAACGAAAGCTGTCATATAAAAGTTATTCATAAAGTCTAGCAAATTTTATATTTTTGATTAAGTTTTATATATAACATATATATTTAAATTTTCCTTATATGGACTATTTGAAAATTAATTTTTCTTGTCATGTTATTAAACACCCGAACCCCGCAAAAATCTCTGCTTCGGTACACCCGAATGCTTGCGTCAAGCTAGATACACCATTGCAACAATATAGTATCGGTATTGAATTTAATTAATATCTCCTACAGTTTCTTCTACTGTAGTTCATAACGATCTTGTTAAATTTGTTATAAAAATGATACTCTATAATAATTATCTACATAGCGCTTTTAACTTTTGTTCTTAATGCACTTGACTCAGATTACTAATGAATATTGTTAAAAAAATTAAATATTTAAAACTGAATATAAAATCTTACTTTATAATGGTTATGATTTAATGAGTAACTGTGAATTTCTAAAATACAAATAATGCATGTGCCACGTAATACTAATATACCTATATAAGTTTTGAAATTACAGAATAAACGAAATTCTAGCATAAAATACAAGGCACTTTCAATAGAAAACCAGAAAGTGCCATTAAAATTTGAAAGGATGAGCCATAGCGTAGTAATTTTGACACACGAAACTAACAAGTTAGAGGCAACAGTAACAGCGACTGGCAAAACTAACGTGCGAGAACATAAGATAACGAACTGATAAAATTGTGTGACAAAATTATTACGCTGTCACTCCTCATCTTCACGAATTTTAATGGCAATTTTTTAGCATTTTATTGAACGTGCCCTGTAATATTCTAACATATTAAGTTGACTGTTTAAAATTTATAATTAAAAACTACTTGAAATTTTAATACGTATGAAGAAATTGTTTAATTGCAATTATAGCTATTTCAATTGTTTTTAAATGAAAATACATTATACTTACAACCAACAATAATGGAGTTTTAATGATCAAGTTTTTAATTTCGATTTTTCCGGCAGGTATAGGACATTGTTTACATTGGTCACCATTGACGGTACACGAAACTGCTCCAGTTCTTACTAACTCGCATATATTGAAACTGTTAAAGTAAAATAAGAAAGAATTCATAACTAGATTATATCTTTTAATAATATAAATCACTTACCATAATCTTCTATTTGTTGCACATGACGAACTAAGAAGTCCAATCTTAGCATTCATTTCTACCCTGGTACCACTCTCAACAGCATTTAAACTATTAGCATGGAATGATACACTCACTTGACTATTTAGTTTAATAGGCATGGGATCAACGTTTACGTTATAAATAGAAAATGGCGATTCAATACCACCTGTTAACCAAAATTAGAAGCATATAGAAGCATGATTGTGAATTAAATATTTATATTCACTTATAAGTTATACTAAAAAAATAAAAATAGAAATACTTACTACAGTTCGAAATAGGTACTGTTTCTGCGTTGCAATAAATGAAGAAAAATATTTGCATTAAAGGTAAAACGAACATTATTTTGTATTGGATTAAGTATTGCTTTCAAAAATGTATTTTTATAATCGGCTAAAGAGAGCAGACTATTTTTCTCTAAATATTATGCAGCCAGAAGTTTAAATGTGGAAAAATGAAAAAATTAGTGGTTATTTATAAAACAAAAATATAGGCTATGTCAAGCTATTATGACCTTTTCGTAACTCTATTTCGTAAGTGTATAATTATACAACCAATTCATTTTAGAAATGTGCCAATTATGCTGTAGGAAATGAACAATTTTCTTATTGGTATCAATTTTTAAGTACAACTAATATAGATGAATTTTTCAAACACCACTGTGATTTGTTCCGGAGAAAAACAAACTTTGAATTAGGATCATTGTACAACGACCTTAATTCAAATTTTCAATTCATTTCTTTATTGACATATTTGACATTTTTAAAATATTCTGATGAATTATAGATTACAAAAGCGGCAATATAAATGCATTCAATAAATTTTAATCTCAATAATCTAGTATACATAAAATATTTTTTCATTTAACTTATAAATGAAAGAAAAAAAAATGAATTTTAGTATAAGAGAGCCTAACATATTGTTTGAATAGTTATAAGCATAATTATTTATGCATTTTCTTAAAAAATATTAATTTTAGAAAAATTCCCACGTTTCTCATTTGAATTATTAAGTAAAATTCTTCGAAATCAGTGCCTATTATTTTATCAATGATTAATAAGACTGAAATGTTGTAATTGTTGGATTTCCTTGGTCTCTAGACACTGTTTCTAGTCAATATATTAAAGATACGTAACTTATAACTTACGATAAATATTAAAATTATTTTATTGATTTATAAATAATTATTTATTTTATTTACTCACAAATAATTATATTTTTGTATACTTATACAAATCTCATTTATATCGCAATTCATAATTAGTTTTCATTAAACGAAGCTGTATAAAAAGGGAAAACATTTCAATATTAAAAAAAAAATTAAAATCTCTTTAAATATGAGTTGAAAAATGAAATGAATATATTACTGTAATTTTTCATATTTTATTAATATTTTTTACTGNAGGAAACAATGAAATTGTTTGGCTTTTTTTAAACTCTTTATGCCCTGTGGGCACTAAGAGGGTCTCTTTTAGCAAGCCCATTATGGGTTCTGCCAGGCCCACAATAGAGTGGCTGGGTGATGAGTGATGGGACCCAACATATCTGGACAGACCACTCCCGAAAAATTCCTGGGGATTTCTTGACCTGTCCACATTAGATCCTGGGTCCCCCAGAGTAGTAGGCTACCACCTTGACCGCTCAGCAATCAGGCTGTCATAGAGAAGTTGTTTGGCTAGATGCAGGGGGGAGGTAATTCTCACACAACGAGAAACAATGCCACTCTGAGCAGGAAAACGCGTGGGTCGCCCTTTGTTTTTGCAAAATTAGCAGTGAGGTCACATGGGCACACCAACGAAAACCGAGACAAATTTTTCGCAAAAAAAAATCGACAAAAACCGAAACCAACGATAACCGAAGTCAACGAAAACTGAGGTATTACTACTGCTTTTGAAATATATTATAAATATGAGGTTATTTGCTGACATATATTTAGTATGTCATAGTTCCTTTGATTTTTTTTTCTTACTAGAAATAGTTCACAGAATTCAAAGATCTCAGAAAAGAAAATCTTACCAATACATTAAAAAATAAATATGATAATTATATCTATTTATTTGTTCTAAATAAACAATAATATAATAAGTTATAATTTAATATATTTTAAAGCTAATAAATCTCTGTAAGAATTAACTGATATTAGGTATTTTTTCAAAAATTGGTTTAAGAATAACTTGGCTAGGAATTACATCTTCTATAATTATAAATAGTAAAAGATTTTTACTTTCTTTTTTGTTTTTGTGTAGTTCAAAGTTTGTTATGATTATGACAGACAAATATTAAAACATCATTAAAAATTTATAATTGATAAGATATTACCAATTTTAAAATTTAACAAAAACTGACATAATTCTTAAGCATGAATTAAAGAATTGATCTATGAATGAATAAATCAAATCAATTTTATTATTAATCCTCAGCAATTAAATATTATGAAAGTAATGAAATCATTCTTTATGATTCACTGAATTAGACATCACTGAATCATAACAAAAAAATGTTATGATAAATATAGCAATAATATTTTGCAACTGTATATAAACAACAGTCCAATAATTAATATTTTAACACAATCAACTTATCTCTAGATCAGCAGCTTCCAACTCATTTTTATTGCAGAACCTTTTTTCAGGGTTTCAACATTTTTTACTAAGGTTTTCACTTTAGTAAAAAATGTTGAAACACTGACAATTTTTTAAGATTATAGATAAAAACACAAATAGAAATACCAAAATCAATTTATGGAGAATCCAAAAACAAAACATAGAAAAAAAAATTAATAATGGAAAGCATATTTTACTTAATTCAAACTACCACAAAGTACAAATCCAGCACTAGTGCCTGGATTTATATTTTCATTTGTGTCCGCCCTTTCAGTCCTCCTTGTCACTAGAAATATTTGAAGTACTTGCTACATTTTTTTTCAAAACTCTTCTCTCAGCCAATGCTCTGTGATTTTTTAATTTAAGATATACACAATACTAAAAGCACTATAAATTTATATGATTTCCACTATATTTTTATATGAAAAATACTTAAAATATCACAAAGTGATTGCAGTGCAAAACTCTAATTAATTTTTGACTGANTTTCCTAATTGAAATTCATATGGTTCCCATGAAGCTATAACGCGTTACTGTGTAAACTCATATTAATCACAGTTATTCGATTTTAAATCTAATTTTATACATATAATTTCTATAATATTAGCACCACTGTTATGAAGAAAAATAGAAATTTTGTTATGTAGGCTATAAAAACTTAAATTTAAAATTCAATAAGTTATGATTAATTTATTTCGATAATATATATAAAAATAAGATCGTTTAGTTATTGTGACATCGTCATAATGCTGGGCTACAATTTTTAATCATATTTTAATTTTAAACAAATTGTAGACAAATTCCAACTATTGTCCGCCTGTTTGTCCGTCCTTCCTTAGTCTCGAGAACGGTGTTAGATAGATGTAAGGGGAGACCAAATATGGAAAGATTAGGGGTATCGATTAAAATATATGAACTTCTAGTCTAGACCGGAAGTCACGTAATTTCAATTCAAAAGTTTTTCCGGAACAGAGTTACATAGATGATCGGAATGACTCTATTGTTATCAGGAAAAACATGATGTGCAGGGGCAAGACACTATTAATTTGAAGTGGAGAGCATACATTTGAAATTAAATAAATTGAAAATATGATTAAAAATCGCAGCCCGGCTATGTGACGATATTGTAATAAATTTTGCTTTGTTAGTTATTTGAAAACATTTCTAATTTTGATACTTATATACTGATAAATCTTTTCAAAAAATTGACTAATAAAATATAACATACTTAAATAAAATCGTTTAATATATGGCTAACCTTTGCCTAATTTTTTAATATAATTTTCTAAAGCATTGTTTTCAAGAAGTTTTGAAGTTATAATTTTGACATCTTAATTTAATAAGTGAAAAATTTCATGTACCGTACACGAACAACAAGACTATGAGTGTGTCTCCTGGTCAAGCAGCTAAGTAAGCAAACCAGTGACAAATCGTTTTATATGAAACGAACTACGTCATTGGCTTGCTTACTTAGCTGCTTGACAAGGAAATGCGCCCTATATATTTATATAAAAAATAAATTGATAAAATAATGGAAACAAGCAAAATCGATTACGCAAAGTACAGTACATAGAGCAGAAGGGATTGAATGAAAAACAAAAACGACGAGAAAGTTGTGCAGGTCTTTTTATCTCTATCGTTCTAAAAATAAAAAATAAAAAGGCTTTTCTAAAAAGACAAGAAATTTTCATTCATAACTAATAAACTCAATTATTCAACCATGTTTATTTTTAAACTCACAATTGTGTGTGTGTGACACGATTTATGTTCACCTTCTTCGAAGCTTAATAACTCCTGTGCTCTTTGTCGAAAATTTCTGAAATTTTGAAAGGAAATTTGTTTATTAGGCCCTGTACACACTCGGCGTTTGACGAGCGTTTAGCGGAGCGTGCGCACTGGCTCGGTTTGGAAATGGATGTGGAAGTGATTGCTTGTATGTGGCCCCACCATCGTCGCTATAAAAGACGACGGCAGAGGCAAAGAGAATTTTGGGTGCACCCAATATTACGAGATAGACTGACGCATGAAATGTTTGCGACGTTGTATCCAAAACTAAGACAAAATAANAAATTTATATTTTTAATAACCCAGCATTTGGTCATGATATCTAATACTAAGAAAAGAAAAATAGCAGAAGGAAAGAGAAAATTCATTATATTTTGGATAGAAAAATATTTTTTAATTGAAACATGCAATAATATTATCTGCCTTAATTGTTTTGTCATGGTAAAATTGCCGTGTGTAATATTAAGCGTTACTATGCTGCCAAACATGAATTAGAATATAATAAACTAGCAGATGAGCCCGGCAAAAAATAACAACAAATTAATTAATAACACAATCTTGTGTTCAACACTCAAACATTAAGATTACTAGATTATTTTGTACTTCTAACAATTCTATTATATTATATTATAGTAGTCTACTTGATTTATATAATTACGAACGTTATCTTACGTAAGGGTTTAAAACACCAAGTGCCTACTGTCACGCATTCTAAAAATTTTTTAAATTGT